TCACCCCTGCAAACTCCTCGTTTATGCTGACAGCAAATAGTTGGCGGAAGCTTCAGTCCCTATTATTCTTTCGTGTACTGCTTTACCTGATGCCATGGTCGTGTTTACAGCATCTCAAGTGAACGCGAAAAAAAATCGTTCTCCTATTTGCTGTTCTCACAATTGTACCTACGTGCATCTTAATGCTGGCTACAAAGCACTGCAGGTACCCCATTGCTTTACTCCACGGTGAGAATTTAAGGTACGTACAAGCTGTTGCTCACATCAGTGATCTTCATCTTCCTGATGAACCCACATGTCACTTTGCCGGCATAACTCTTGTATTTCAGTCAAGCCGAATAGACAACGCTACCGCGAATAGGCGATGCTCTTGACTTTTTACAAGGTGCAAAGTACGTTACCTCCTGGGATATGCGTTCTCGTTATTGGTAAGTACGAGTGGCTGAGTGTGATCACCGTAGAAAGCTTTCGTTCCGCTCTATGGCCCATACGAGTTCAACGTCCCGGCATTTCGGCTCTGCGACGCACCTGTAACTTTGGAGCGCATGGCCAATATACGAGCTTTCGAGCCTACAAAAGGAAGCTTTGCTTGTGTTACTTGGGCGATATAGTAGACTTTCCATAGGATTTGCAGACACACTTTGGAGGTTAGCACGACATTATCACGTGCGTAACTCCTGCGGACCTATAGCTTAATACCAAGAATTGCCACTGTCGAGAATGGAAGCTTGCTATCTTGTGACATGCATTCTCAAAAGACCGCATTCTACCAGATTGTGATGCGCTTCGAGCTGTCACGTCATTCCAAAAGGCCTCATCGATGAAAGCCTTCAAAAGAATTTGTCAGCCTCTGCTTCTATTTCGGTCACTTCATGCGTACCTTTGCATTCATTACTGCACCTTTGGCGAATCTGCTTACCACCAGTGAAGGTGTATCTGCAGAGTTAGCTTCATGTGATACCTTATTTCACCACTTGTTCCAGCTGTCAACCTTGCCATCCATCGTTCACCACTACAATATTACTGTGTTTTTGAAATCAACATGGATACAAGTAGCGTTGGTCTTGCTGCAGCTTTGGCACAACTAAAATGCAGCCAAGGCGAATACATTCTCGCTTGTACAAGTTGGGCTCTCACGAAGGCTGAATAATACTACTCCAGGGCAGAGGAGAAGTGCTTGACGATAATCTAGAAATCGACAGCTTTGCGCTAGATTTTACGGCTGTTCTCTCGACGTGGTTACATACCACCACGTTCTATGTTGGCTTTCACCATTGAAAAACCCGCCAGGGCACCTAAGTAACTGCGCACTTCGCTTGCAGGAGTATGATATTCGTGTCGTATGTCGTTCCGGTCAGACGCATGTGGATGCCGATGCACTACCCCGCTTGCCAATAACACCAAATGTGGCTTCTATGTCCCCTTTGTTGATCGGCTTGTCACCTCTCTACACTACTGAAATACGTTCAGCGCAGCGTAAAGACTCATACCTCGACAGCAGTCCACTTTTCTGTGCGAGACAACATTCGTGCCAGCGCAACGAAGGGCGGAAGTGGCCACTAGTGGTCTCTAGATATTATCATCATCATCATCCTGACTAAGTCAACTGCATGACAAAGGCCGTTCCCATGTTCCGCCAGCTAACTCAGCCCTGTGCTTGCTGCTGCCAATTTATACTCGCAAACTTCCTAATCTGATCTGCCCACCTAATCTTCTGTCTTCCGTTAACCCGCTTGCCTTCTCTGAGATTCCAGTTAGTTACCCTTAATGACCAGCGGTTATCCTGTCTACGCACTACATGCTCAGCACATGTCCTTTTTCTCTTCTTGATTTCAACTATGATATTCTTAACCCCCGTTTGTTCCCCAATTCACTCTGCTGTCTTTTTGTCTCTTGAGGTTACACCTACCATTTTTTTTTCCAATTGCTCACTGCGTCGTCCTCAATTCAGGCTGAACCTCTCTTTGTAAGTCTCCAGGTTTCTGCTCCGTAGCTAAGTACCGGCAAGATACAGCTGTTATATACCTCCTCTCATGAGAAATATAGGCAATCTACCTGTGATAACTTGAGAGTGCTTGTGAAATGTGCTCCACTCGATTCTTATTCTTCTAGTTACTTCAATCTCTTGATTCGGCTCCGTGGTTATTACCTGCCCTAAGTAGACCTAATCTTTTGCAACTTCCAATGCACTATTACCTATCTCGAAGCGCTGCTCTCTTCCAAGGTGTTTGAACATTACTTTAGTTTTCTGCAGATTAATTTTAAGACCCACCTTTCTGCTCTCCTTGTCTGACTCCGTAATCATGAGTTGCGATTCGTCCCCTGAGCTACTCAGCAATGCATTGTCTACGGGGAAGCACAGGTTATAAGGTACTCTTCATTAACTCTTATGCCTAACTGTTCCCATTCTAGGCCTCTGAAGGCCTCCTGTAAGCATGCGGTAAATAGCATTAGAGAGACTGTATCCCCCTGCCTTACACTCTTCTTGATTGGTATTTTGTTGCTTTCTTTAAGAAGCACTGTGGTAGCAGTTGATCCCCTGTAGATATCTTTCAGGTTGTTTGTATATGCTTCGTCGACGCCCTGATTTCACAGTGTCTGCATGACTGCTGATATTTCTACTGAATCAAACACCTTCTCGTAATCTATGAAGGCTATGTATAGTGGTTGGCTATATTCTGAGCATTTCTATATTACCTGATTGATAGCATGAATGTCGTCGATTGTTGAGCAGCCTGTTTGAAATCCTGCTTGCTCCTTTGTTTGATTAAATTATAGTGTTTTCTTAGCTCTGTTAGCAATTACTTTTGTAAATAGCTTGTACACTACGAAGAGCAAGATGATCGGCCTGTAATAGTTCAAGTCCTTGTCATCTCCTTTATTTTGTATTAGGATGATGTTAGCGTTCTTCCAAGACTCTGGTACTCTTCCCGTCAGGAAACACATCGTACACAGGGTGGCTTGTTTTTCTAACATGGTCTGTCCTCCATCTTTCAGTAAATTGATGTTAACTGATCCTCGCCAGCAGCTTTGCCTCTTTGCATGCTCTCCAAGGCTGTTCTGACCTCTTCTATCATTACTGGTGGGGTGTCATCTGGGTTACTGCTAGTTACTTTTGGTATTAAGGTCGTGGTTGTCCCGGCTACTGTACAAATTTCTGTAAAACTCCTCCGCTATTTTAACTATCCTATCCACATTGGCAGTTATTTTGGCTTCTTTGTCCCTTAGTGCATACATCCTATTTTGCCTATCCCAAGTTTCCTCTTCACTGCTTTTATGTACCCCTGATTTTCAGAGCGTGTTCCATTCTCTTCATGTTATACCTTATTACATCGAATACCTTACGCTTGTTAATCAACTTCGAAAGCTCTGCCAGTTCTATTTTTATGTTGTATAGAGACTTTCATGCTTTGACGCTTCGTAGTGAGATTCTACGTGTCCTTGGAAAGCTTGCCAGTGTCCTGTCTAACTACTGTGCCTCCAACTTCCACTGCACACTCCGTGATGATACTCGCGAGATTATCATTCATTGTTTCTTTGCTAAAGTTGCTTTCCTTAATAAAATCCGAGTATCTGTTCTGAAGCGAGACTTTGAATACCTGTACTTTCCCTCTCAGTACCAGCCCATTGATTGGCTTCTTGCGTATCAGTTTATCTCGTTCCTTATTCAAGTCTAGCAAATTCTCGCCCGTACCAATTTATGGTCACTGCATCGTACCTTGCCAACCACTTCCACAACCTGCACGATGCCTGCGTGTGCACTCATTAAAAGTCCATTTGATCTAATTTTTGCCATTAGGGCTCCTCCATGTACACTTATGGTTTCTTCATTTTTGGTAGAAGGTAATCAAATTGCATAAATTATTGCGTTTGGCAAATTCTACTAGTAGCTCTCCTCTGGCATATGTAGTACCGATGCCATAATCTCCTACTGCCTGTCTCTAGTCTGCTTCTTCCCTACCTTTGCATTAAGGTCTCCTATATGTATATTATACTGTGTTTTTTTACGTTACTCATTGCCAATTCCACGTCTTCATAGAAGCTTTCAACTGAAGCGTCTTCATGGCTGGATGTAGGCGCGCAAGTCTGTACCGCCTTCATCTTGTATCTCTTACCGAGTTTACTACAATACCTACTACCCTTTCATAATTGCTGCAGTATTCCTATATGTTGCCAGCTATGTTTCTTTGCAATTAGGAACCCCATTCCCATTTCTCTTCTGTCAGCGAAGCCCCGATAGCAAAGGACGTGCCCCTTCAGTAGCACCGTATAGCCTCGTCTCACCTCCTCACCTCAATGAGCCCTATTATATCCCACTTAACACCGTCTAGCCCGTCGAATAGTACAGCTAGACTTCTCTCACTAGATAAGGTTCTAGCGTTAAATGTTGCCAAGTTCAGGTACCAATGGCGGCCTGTCCGGATCCAGAGATTCTTAGAACCCTCTGCTGTGTTGCAGATCTGACCGCCGCCGTGGTCACTTGCTTTGCAGCTGCTGGAGACTGAATGTCGTGGGTTAACTGTCGTATGCATGTGGGAGATAGTGGCCAGATACTGAACCTGGGTGGCCAATTCTTCTCCGGCGAGGGAGATCGTTACCGGTGGTGTTCACCGGTGAGTATGCACCCCAGGCCTCTTAAAGCAGTTCCATCACCACGCGGATATTTTTTTTGATCTGGTTAGGAACTGCGTGGCACTGGGATCCAAACCACGGACCTTTTGCATGCGAGGCGGAAGCTCGAACCACAGCGCCATTGCCGCTAATGTGCTAACAGATATATATGCTTGATATCTTCGCCTCTTTCCATGCATATTGCGGAAGTGCTCATGTCGGCGTTCTAGAAACCTATGAAATGCTGCGTAAGTGACGTTACTGGCGAAGAATGTATCGCCTATGGCTATGGCTTTTTGGTATAGGGGTTGTTGCGTCGCGTTCGTCAGTAAAGAAAGAATGACGTAGGCTTCAAGTGAAAACAAACTTCAATTTATTCAGCAAACATGGCATATTGCAGGATTGGCCTAGAGACGGCAGCTCTCAGCGACCATCATTCCGGGCAGCAGCAATCGGCCAGCACGGGTGACAGCATCCGTTCATCATGACAGCCAAGACATCTGTTGTTAGAGCATGACGCAGGCTGGCCCTTTTGACGAGCGCAAGTGGACCACGTGCACCACCACTCTGCGTCACCTTGCGCCCCCTCTGGAAGGCCTGTGCACGTGGTTCCCACAAGACGAATGTTGAATCATTCTTCGCGACCAAATTCGATGGCTTCGTTTCCGCCAACGTATCCTCCGAGCGCGAAAGCTCCACTTGGAGCTATTAAGATTACAGCTGCAACAAAGTAAAAATGGTTGTTAATACTGTGCGGTCAATCCGTCTCTATAATCTGGTAGGGTTTAAAGAGATAATTGTAATTTTTCCGCAGTCTAGTAGGTATTTTAACCCTGTTTTTTTCTTGATGAAAGAGTATACTGTTATGCTGCATCTAGTTGCGCAATATTTAGAACACAAAAATTGGTTTGACTAATTACAGCAACGGGCAGCAATATGCACTTTCTCGCGTCGTAATCGCGTGTGTTGGCATATTTTTATATCCTGGCTGTAGATAGCTGGGGTACCCTGCATACAGTGCTTTAGCTCTTCTCTCAACTTGGCGTTTAGCCAACGACTATGCAAGAATTTCCCGTCATCATTACCAAATTCAAAGGTCGGCTATGTTGGATAGCATGGTGAGGGTGTGGTTATTTCATGGTAACTGAAACTCACCACTTGAATAAACACGCGAAGCCATGTCATAGCTGCAAAAGACAGTCGGAGATGTTCACTGCTGCGATTTCGTGCCCTGACTTCAGATGTCCTGGGAACCACAGTAGACTCAGAAACTCCACGGGGCATCGTTCATGTAGGTACCGGTGTTTATGTTAGTATTCTGCATTTATCAAGTGTTCGGAATTAATAAGTCTGTTTTGGTAGTTAAATAGTTGTTCGTGTCTGTCAATGAGCCGTTCAATTCAAGTTTTCATATTCCATAAGGGTTCAAGTGGATTACCTATTGCAGTAGCAACAATCACCAGTAGATTCATTCCAAGTTGTTGTTCCATGTTTTCAGCTGTGGGGCAGCAGAAACGGCGAGAGAAGGTGTTGCAGGAAGGTGCCCTGAGTATGGAAGTATCTATGCGTAAAAAAGTTTAGAAGAAAATTGTGCCCAACACCAAAAAAGACTGAAAATTGATTTAACCAGAGGGTGTTTCTTTTCTTAGGAAGACACATTGCTTACGCAGCGGTAAAATTGAAAATAATCTGCCAGGCACGTAGCTTTTAGAAACGGTTTGACTGTGTTATCGTACTATTTGAGCATAGTACGGAAGACAATGCAATGAACTTAAAAAAATGCTTTCATTTTTTAGCTACCATTTCATGAGCGCGCAAAAATATTTCATGAATATAATCTCTTCAAGCAGTTATTTCAATAAAAACGCCTTTTTTATAATAATACATGCACATCGATATTATTCACGTGTTTTGTCTAAACCGAGCCAATGCGGACTACATCCCCAATAAGCACCCCGCCATGGTGGTCTAGTGGCTAAGGCACTCGGCTGCGGACCCGCAGGTCATGGGATCGAATCCCGGCGGCGGCGGCTGCAGTTCAGATGGAGGCAGAAATGTTGTAGGCCCGTGTGCTCAGATTTGCGTGCACGTTAAAGAACCCCAAATGGTCGAAATTTTCGGAGCCTTCCACTACGGCGTCTCTCATAATTATATAGTGGTCATGGGACGTTAAACTCCACATATCAATCTAGCATCCCGAGCAAGCGGTGCACCTCACCTGTAGAAAGATGCGTCAGGGTTGAGCGCAGGTTACTGCAAATCTGCGCATTTATTCACTTCAGGGTGGGCATATATACGAAAAATGAGGGCTACAATACATAATTGAGCAGGTTATAAAATTTAAGCATAGTATCAATCAGAAAGCCTTGTTGGACAGCCACATGCTGTGCACAAAATATCAGTAAGTTCAATTTCGGAACGGCACAGCGCATTCAGTACCAAATAAATTGCCTCATTATATTCTTCGCATTATTCGTCGAATGTGTAGCGCAACTGATTCGCCGGTGTTTCTGAGCCATAGTATGTCGTGGCGAACGCTGTTCGAGAACGCCGGAATAAAATAAAATAACGAACTATTTGTGGATATGAAACAAAAATATTCACCAATACAAATAATAGAATATAAAATGAACATGTCTGTAACACTGACTTCTTTTGCTCGCCGTACAAAGTCTATGTCTGTACAGAATAAATATTATCATCACCTACGGAATCAAAGATGTATGAAACAGAACTCAAGCAAGAGAGATATCGAAGCTTAGATAACAATTTCGTAACGCTACGAAACAATCTCTTTATTTGTTTGTCTCTGCCTAGTGTGCGATGACGAAGCCCATTATCCCCACGTCGTCTTTGGGACGATAGCTGGTTAGGACCGCCATAGAATTATATTTACTCGGGATATCTGGTACTTTCTTCATCGAAACTCTCTTAATGTACCTTGAGGGCCTCCGGCAGAAACAAAAACAATCTCAAGACAAGTGTAAATACATGTGCCTGTAAAGTTAGTATGTAAGGTCTATACTCGAATAGAGGTTTTCTCAAATCAATGAAGCTTTGAGGAAGTCAGCCGCATCTCAGACGAAAGAAGAGCGAGTAACGACATTTTTTTGCCAATAACACTGCAACAGTGGTTTGAATGAATTCTTCCGCAAATGGCTCCTCAAGCCGATTGCTCGCTCTAATAGGAGAACGTTTTATCTGCGTAAACATGTAAACGGCCTTTGTCCTGCAGTGCGCCTAGACAGGACAATGGCGGCCATGGTGACATTGACAGCTGATCTTTCTCTACTGGCTAATAGTTGTAATGACATAATTTTCTTCCCGCTACCAATAGAAGGATGGAAGGAAGGAAGGAAAATAGAAGAAAAAGAAAGGCAAGGAGGTTAACCAGCCTATAGGCAGCCGGTTTGCTACCCTGCGCATGGGAGAGGGATGGGGAGATGAAAGAGAGCAGAGAGGGAAGATAGAAACAGCACATTCGGCAGCACATGCGCGCACACTCAGTCATAGTCCAGTCTTGTCTTTCGCGGTGTGTGACATTGCTGTTACAGTCGCTTGTTCAAGTCGGTGTCGCGTAGGAATTTCAACAGAGCTTTCGTCGCCTTCTGTTGCAGTGTCTTCTCTCGGGCACTTGACAGAATAGTGTCCACAGACATTTGGCTGTTGTCGATGCGCGCAAAAGCAGACGCCAGTGACTGTCTCTGGATTTCATACAATGGACAGTCACACAGGATGTGGTGTAGCGTCTCTTCGCAATGACAGGCATCGCAGAGAGCGTTATCGGCCATTCCTATGACAAAGGAGTAAGATTTTGTAAATTCCACTCCTAGCCATAAGCGATCAAGTAGGGTGGCTTCTCTTCGGTCGAGTCCAGTGGGCATGCGGAGAGCCATCAAAGAGGACAGGTGGTGTTGACGATTCGTATCGATGCTTGGTGGGCACTATAGTGAAAACGTGATTTCACGCGCAAGTCGTCGAAGATTACTGGCAGCATCAGTCCTCGAAAGTGGTATGGCTTCTTCTCGTGTTCCTTCAAGGGCTGCCCGCGCGGCAGTATCGGCATGTTCGTTCTCTATGATGCCGCAATGACTTGGCTGCCATTCAAGCGTCACATGATGCCCTTTCTCGAGTAAAGTGTGGAGAAGGCATCGAACTTCGAAAACAAGCTGTTCATACGGGCCGCGACGCAGTGCTGAGAGCACAGATTGTAGGGCAGCCCTTGAGTCGCTGAAAATCGACCATTGTTGCGGTGGTTCCCAATTGACCACACAAAGTGCAGCGCGCAAAGCAGCTAGTTCCGCTGCTGTAGATGCCGTGGAGTGGTCAGTCCTAAAGCTGATGGTAACACCTCTTGCTGGGATAACTACTGCCCCTGACGAACACTGGTGGTTCGTGGAACCATCGGTGTATACATGTATGCTGTCTGAATATTTCTCGTGCAAAAGAAGGAGAGACAGTTGTTTCAGCACGGGCGACGAAAACTCAGATTTCCTCCGGATCCCTGGTACACTAAAGTGCACTGTGGGTCGAGTAAGACACCAAGGTGGTATGGATGGTTTAGATGCGTGAAAGAAGCCCGAGGGAAGTTTATCGTTGCATTTCACGATAATTTTGGCGAACGATGCTTGGCGCCTCTCTGAAGGCAACAGTGCAAGGTGATGGCCGGGGGCACGTGCGAAGTGTCGGATGTGCGTTCTCAAGACTTCTACAACAATGTGAGTTTGTATCGGATAGTCACCAGCAATTGCAACTGTTGCTTCTGTTGACGTACATCTGGGCAGACCGAGGCACACTTTCAGCTCTTGGGCTTGTACTGCCTGTAAAACACGAATATTGGTCTTGCAGGTATTGCTAAGCACGGGCAAGCTATATCTGAGGAAACCGAGAAACAGGGCCCTGTAGAGCTCCATCATTTCGTCTACTGACATCCCCCACGTCTTTCCTGCCAGGAACTTGAACAGTTCAGAAATAGCAGTCAGGCGCTTCTTCATATAGGTCACATGCGGACTCCAACAGAGGTCCCTATCAATAATGATGCCCAGAAACCGGTGGGTTTTGGCGTAAGAAATCGGTCGCCCGCAGATTGAGATGACATAAGGGGTCATTGCTTTGCGAGTGAAAGCCACCAGCGCGCATTTTTCTGGTGATATGCTGAGACCGCTACCAATAGAGGTTTTACGGCAAAACAATTAGGTGCACATAAGAATCGAGTACTGTCGGGGGACAAACAAAAGCAAGCACAATATAAATAAATGCGTCATCTTGCCAAACTCCTCTCTTCTACTTTAACGCGGGTGCCAATTGTGCCACTTCTTCGGCGGTGTTTGTGATTGGCTAGCACAGTTGTGATGAGGAATGCCTGGATTGCCAGCAGCTGAATCTTGTTGTGCAAGAAAAGGTTGGACATCGCTGACATTATTAGGGCCCTACACTTGAGAAGTCATGCAATCTGTCAACATGTAAGAAAGCTTGGGTTCCCGAGTGGTTCTATAAAGCCCATTTCATTTTTTGATGGTGAAACTGAAAAACACCTTCCTAAGCGTGACTGAGTGGGTGCGTGCGTGTTAACATCAAGTCACTAAGCTCAAAAATAACATTTTATCATCGCTTATCATGTAGTCCGTCCTGTCCCGCGCAGGATACATCGAGATTGTGTCTGGTTTGTCGTACCGCGTCGGTACACCTCTGCCTGAGCTTTACCTTATGGTGTGGTAGCGCAACTTCCACGGGGATGCAGAGGATAAGAAAACACGACACTCGCTACACTTGCAACTAATTTTATTTCAGAAGCAGCACTTCATATATAACCCAAGTCCCTGGTGACACAGAAAAGCACTGCGAACATATAATTATTGCAAATAGCCTTTTTCATGTGATAGTACACACGGCAGATAAGGTTAGTTGCGTTCATATGATATAACAACGAGCGCTCTGGGTATCAATAAGAACATTGGCAAAGACTTGCACATGCCTGAAACTGAAATATAAACAAAAAGTAAAGAAAGACGACCCATTAACACATGAACACGAAGCGATAGCATACGTGAGGTATGCTTAGACACTTTTAGTTGAAACTTTTGGATGAAAAAAAACGTAACAGCGCTGGGTATTATCAGACAAAAAAATGGCGGAAATTCGCTCGTGCCTGAATCAAAATTTGAAACATCATGAAAGACAATATGACACATGTAAAGACAAACTTCAAATAAAGTGCTTCGAGGAAGCTGGCTTCTCGGTTGCTTGAGGACACTGATCACTGACTAATGCAGCCGTCTTTTCTTTTATTGATGTGGAAGGATTTAATAATTTCTCTAGTTAGTTGGTTCGCATGACGGAAGACTACGGTTGTATCACCAAACAGTGTCGAGCAGCCACACTGAGAACAATACGCCTTTATGTGAGAATGAATGTTGGTTGCCAATGATCGCTTATGTTTTAAAAGTGGAACGACTCATCTGGCTGAGGTATATCTTGCCACATGATAGCGGCAAGCAATACACGACCGCTAGGATACGTTCAACAAATTATGTGGTGTGATTTAACGTACAACTACCAGCATTAGTTTTTGCTGCTACGGAAACTTTCTGGTCTAGTTTGGAACATCTTTTATTAAGGTTGTTTGGTGGCGAAAAAACAACTTCTAGGCGATATCAATTACCTACGTTTTTTAGGTTATGGGCAATCTTGCACGCACAAGGAACCGACACCACCTTCTTTTTGTTTTCAGTATTTGTCATTGTTTTCTGGAAATTGCCGCGTACGTGACCAACCAATTTGTTGGCTGATCTACAAAACACGTGTTTTTGTATCCAGTATTTTTTAGTCTGATGATTTGTTGGTAGAAGCTTTCGCTAATTTTATCTGGAATTTCATCTTCGTTAGTGCTCTCAAACATAAAAATGCTATGGCACTCTTTACGGTTTTGGAGTTTGCCGAACGGTAGCTAAGAAGGGGTTTATCTGTTCGCGGATTGTAGGACCCGTATACATGTTCCGCCACCGCCTCTAACCCCACATTCAAAGACTAGAGTTTGTCATTGTCTGGTAATTCAAAAGTAAATTTAAGCCCTTGACTACTGTTCCTAAAGGCTTTCAAAGCTTCTGCGACTGAGTTATTTCAACCATTTGAATTATTGAAAACAAGAAAGTATTCTACAAACCGAAACACTTTTAGTGCAAGCCCACTGAGTTTTAAATGGATTGCCTTGTACATTTTCGCCAAATAAATTGTGCTGAAAACAAAGAAATGATATCTCACCATGCACCTTCAATAATGTCACAAATTGTGGTCACACTGGGGTCGTTCTGCAAGCCATTGGTATTTTCGCCTAATTGAAATCCCTGTACCGTTCTGGGATTTAATTCCAGATTGCCACCATCGCATTCGACGCTGAACTTCCCGTAGCACAACTTCCCGTTAAGGCCATTTCGACATCGCACAGCAAACGTTACCCGTCATCTGTCGATTCCGCCTTCTCTCTGCTTGTGCGCCTCGATAAGAGAAGCTTTTACGGAAATCCTATTGGATCATGTTGTTGTAAATGTTCTTCATATTTTTGTCCATACTTTCATGCCTACGCAGCTGTTCTCTCTCTTTCTCTCTCTTTCCCTCTCTCTCATGCTGCCTGGCGGAACTGAAATCAGGCAGTCGTCACTTTCTGCCTTAATCGCTCGGAGGACTATGCGTTGATGCATCATTGTCTAAATATTTATGTCGTCAGCTTCAATGTTCTTTTTCACGTACTACATCGAACTCACAACATATCTCATCAACTTCTCTACGTCTCTACTTCTCGTTTCCCGCGCTCAACCACAGGTAACAATGGAGGCTCTATGGCTGCTGGAAAAAGTCAGCTAAGAAGTACGGAGCACCACACATCGGCGAACAGTCGCCACAGCACGTTCACACCATACGAACGACGAACAGCAAGTGGTGAGCACAATAAACGTAGGTATGCATTACGCTTCGATAACTGTCATAGAAACGCATTTCACAGATTTATTGGTGCAAATATTTTTATCTTCTGCCGATGTTTCTTTCTGGCTGTGTAATTGCAACGCTACTTTAAGCACCTATATAAAAGCACACGTTTCATGTTAGTTGTGCGGGTCTTGTTGTTCAGTCTCATAAAAGGTGAAAGAGCTCCGCTTTGTCTTACCAGAGCTATGATCTTTTTTTGTGTACAGATATGTACGTGTAAGTCGTGCCACGATTAGCGCATGGCGTTTCGTAAAAGGTGAAAGGTCTCATAACTTGAGACACAGCTGAGACACTATATCGCTCCGTTTTGATGAGGAAGTGGCCCACAACGGAGCGTGTTTCACAGGGCCCAGTAAAGTTTATGTGAAAACGTGTTTCACAGGGCCCAATAAAGTTTATCCAGCCATGCAGGCTAGTTGAGGAATGTGGTATTGGGCCTAAGTATGGCGGTGAAACATTTTGACGAGTCTGAGTCCGAGTGACCTTTGAGCGGAAGGTGTTTTTGATGTGTTAGTCTTAGCGGGTTCCACGTTGCTGATCATATCTATATTGCGCACTATTCCACAGCTACTTGTTGGTACTGACGGAGATGAGTCGATTGTGCTTTTCTGCGCATTCGAAGAAAACATCCAGTTTATTATTACAACAGCGAAATTTTATTTTGGTAATGGCATAAGATCTACAGAGGGTTTCACAAGATTGTTCTCTATATAACGCTTCCGCACACCCAGTCTGGGAACCACCTTGGAGCTGTCAAGTGGTTCTATATACCTTAAACAGGCTTTTACCAACAAGAACTTGCAGATATTGAGGTAAAAGGCGGTCTTGCTTGCGCAGATACCTTTTAGAGCCGCTTAAGGAATAATCTTTTGCCAAAGTTGCCCCTCAGGAACTACAGGTGTTCAGCTTACGGAACAAGTTATATCCTGAATGCAAAGAAATAATTATAGTTCAATAATTAAAAACACTCCCAGTATTAGGCGGCTTCAATGTAGCTGCCATGTGAGCTTTAGGGCCATCTGAAAGCCCACAATAGATTTTCTCTGATTGTGCGAACGTTAACTAGTTGTGTATGAAGAGCATGAATATTCACACCGGCTCTTGAGAAAAGGTAGAGGAATTGGGGCGACATGTGCACATAGAAGTCTGTGGCTGCGTAGAGTGAGTGGTGGTTTTATGGGGTGTGTCTCGCTGTGCTACGTTTGTGTGTGATCACTCACACACGAGCTGCGATATCGGTGTATGCGCACGCATTAGGTAGCTACGCCGCGTGTTGTGATGCGGGCGGCAAATGCCTTGTCTCTCTTCTGGGGTGTAAGGGCTTGCGCAGTTACAAAGGGTGTGTTTATATATATATATATATATATATATATATATATATATATATATATATATAAGAAAATAAGTGTACATATACTTAATGGCTTGCTTTCCCGTGTTCGACAAAATATTACTGAGATCTAACAGACAATAATGCAAAATAAAGTACAGCGGAAGTCATTAGTGAAGAAAGAAAAGTGGCGAAAAAGATAACGTGCCGTGCGCAGAAACCGAACCTCCGACCTTAGAATAACGCGTTCGATGCTCTATACCACGGTGGCTATGCTCCCACCCACTTTAATGCGCATATATGTGATGTAAACGTGGGAGTTGCAGTCAGCGCCATTAGTAGGCATGGCGGGGAGTGTAGCAAACAGCCTGGTTTGTGTCACGTAGCACGTGGACGTATTAAGAGCTGGCAGCTGACAAACACTTCCTTTCTTTCCATTAACGAGCGTCTCGCACTGGCAGACTTGCTACCCTTAGGTTGTATACGAGGGAGCATTGGTCAGCTGCCAGCTCGTAGTCAGTTCACGTGCTACGTGGCGTCAAACAGGCTGATAAAGAGTGTGCTACACTCGTGGCCATGGCTACTGGTGGTGCTGACTGACACTCGCACGTATAAATTCACATATATACCCAATAAAGTTGGTGGAAAGATAGCTGGTGTGGTAATTAGGTGGTAAAGCATCGAAAGCGCTATTCGAAGGTCACAGGTTTGGTTCCTGCCCACGGCAAGTTATCTTTTCACTCACTTTTCTTTCTTCACATTTACATTAAAATTTGGTCCAATAACTTCTCCTACCCCATACTTTCCTTGGCATTATTGTATGTTATATCTCACAAATATATATATATATATATATATATATATATATATATCAAGGATGTATATTCTAACAATGCATGCACATTTATTGTGATTTCAGAATTCGATGGCGCAGCAAATTGCCGCACTACTTCTGTACATGACTGCGATCGCTTTCAGCGAGCAACCACCCGGCGAGTGCACCAAGAGAGAAGACTTATCATCCATGCGAGAGCTCCATTGCAGTGTCACAGTAAAGAAAGACCCTCACACTGAATACGTTAAACTTAGGGACGTGTTGCTGGCTAAACTGAAGCTGGAATCTGCAAAGCCTGTTATAAATATGACTATTAAAGATGAACTCATGTGCCTCTCCTTAAGTAAGATTTGGATAGAAAAATTCGACAACTTTGAAGGCTATAATCGCAACTATACAAGCGTCCACGCTGATGAACCATACTTTGGCCCATTCAATACCAGTTCCATCTTTGATTACGCTCGTCTAGCAGCATTCAACAGCACATTTTACAAACCTCCACAGGTAGCAGTGGCTACGTGTAATGAAACGCGCCCTGACGGGAGCTGCCAGTTCAACATCTACGGTTTTCTGCACACAAGCTACAACAGTACTTCTCTACCGAGTTGGTATACATTCTTTCAGCAGTGGGGTGTCACTTTCAGCTTTACAGATACATTGAACATCACATTTGCAGAAAAATTAGATGAACACCCCGGGGACCTACTTTTATTTTTATGTGTGGCCCCTGTAAGAAGACTTTTATTGTACAAATTCAGCCGCAAGCGCATTGATGATTTCGTAATAATTTGTAATGGACGCATGGAGTCAATTTTGCTTGTTCAGAGCCCAACTGAAGATATCGAATCATCTGCATTTAGGGCTGTTCCAAACGTTACCCATATATCTTTAGTCGGCACAAAACTTTCCGGCATTCCGCTAGCCATATTCGAGTTACGACGCCTCGACATATTCGATATGAGTCATACAGATACGCCAGCCAGTGTTGATTTTGATTATTGCCCTGCAAATTGTTCACGCAATAGCACAGCGACACGGTTAGTACTGAGCGGTAGCTAGCTATCCATGCTGCCAAATCGCGCATTTTGTGCCTTCCCGATACTCGAGGAGCTCGCACTGGACAGCTGCCACTTACTGAATATCTATGGTTCACCATTTCAATGCTTAAAACGTCTGAAGTCACTTTCGCTGTTTGGCAATAATATTGAGGTCTTGTACGGGAACAGCGTAAATGGACTTCAAAACCTAGTTACCCTGAACATCAGCAATAACAATATTGAATACTTTCAAGGGTCGCACATACTGCTGACTTTGGTTTCCTTACGATCACTGTCATTATCTAACAACTTGCTTACGGAATTGAATCTCCGGCCTCAAGGTGAAATAATGATCGAGGAGCTAAACATTGAGCGTAACAATGTGAAACTGTGGGAGCCACCCCTTTTTTCTTTCATGTTCAAGCTGAAGAAACTCGGCTTGGCACACAATAACATCACCAAATTGGATAATAAAATGCTGCACGACATACGACACGTCCGCGACGTCGAATTTGGATGGAATCAGTGGGATTGTTCCAGCTGCGATCTAAACAACATCCATTCACTTCTGCACGAGCATCCGCCAAACTGCAGCAAGTGCTTTTCGTGCGCGACACCTCCTGAGCTTTTCGGAAACGATGTCCGTAATGTGACTTTGAGGGACGATGACTGTAGTCTAGAATGGTATCGCGTCTACGTCGTTCCCACGTTGTTATGTTTTATGGTAGCTACTATCCTCGCCAGCATCGCCTACCGAAAGCGCTGGTACATCATGTACGCCTTTTTATACCTCAGAGTTACCATAAATGGGTACAGGAGGCAAAGAAATAGTGACGACTTCTTATTTGATGGCTTCCTGAGCTACCACACCTCGGATGGTGACTGGGTCCGCGACGTACTCCTGCCGAAGCTCGAGTCACCACCGATGCAGTTCCGGCTGTGCGTCGCCGAACGGGACTTCATTCCGGGGATGCAAATCACCGAGAATATTTGTCGTGCTATCGCGCACAGTCGTAAGTCACTTTTTGTAATAAGCCGCGAGTTCTGCCGTAGCCGCTGGTGTATGTTCGAGCTTAGCCTGGCACAGCATCGCCTTTTCGAAAGCGATCTCCAGGATGGCCTGGTGTTCATTAAGATGAACGATGTGGGCGAGTCTGAGATGAGCTCCTTGCTACAGTATCTCACCAAGTCACGAACATATGTTCAGATACCTGAGGATGGATCAAGCGAGACGCTCCAAAACCTCTTCTGGCTACAGTTGCATGCGGCGCTGAAAAAGTAAATGCATATATCTAGAAAAACAAAGAACTTGGAACATGTTTCAGCTTCGCCTTCAAGAGTGGAACTCGATAGCATAATCGGGGCCCGTGCGAATCACCTTCTCGGTTTATCGCTTGGCTTCAATTCTCAGTGCATGTACTATCCTAGAATGCCTACTACAAGTACTGTTGCGCGATGCAAAGGAATAAGCCGAGAGACAGGGATGTTTCGGCTGGCTACGCTGTTTTGGAGTAACTGGTGTATGTTGAGAAATCGAAGTAACTGTGAATTCATCATGTAGTTTATGCGAAATCAACCTCTGAACAGTGTGCTAATATAATAAGGTGCTGGAAACATTGGAAGCAGTCCAAGCATACTGCCATCGAGAACCTCTCGATGTTCAAATAATAACGAGTTGACAGTGCATGAACAAAAGAAATATCGCTGCTTCCAGCAACAATGTTGTGCCACTGTCCTGCTGCGTCATGGTTCTGAGACAGCGAGTGTTTTTTCGCTTTCATTTATCATCTCACCGCTGGAATGTTGAACAATGGTGTTCCGTTACCGTTCTTGTCTCAATGATTCGGTATATTTCTACATCGTCTTCAGATCACCCTATCCTAAGCTAAATTTGCCACTATATGGCTTCTTATTTACAATATATGCAAAGAAACTGCGAATATGGAATCAGCCAACTGCTAATAAAGAAGACCTGTTTTGACATTCCATGAACTGAACCTATAGTCGCTGAACTATATTTGTGTGAGCTTGTTTCTTTATTATATTGAAGTAAGAAGAAAAATAAATCCTGTATTTCTTTTTCAGTCCATGTGCAGTGAAACACGCCTCTCGCGCACTTGCAAAGAGGTTACACTCTCCTATAAAAAAAGATGCAATCGGGGTATTTTTCTGCGACGCAACAAGGGGTACTCGCATATTTCATTTCTATTCTATATATGACTTGTGCGGTACTTCCTTGCGTATTGAGTGCACCGCGCTGATAGCGCGCGCTCACCATTCGTAGTTAGCCAGCATATTGAGTGCGTCACGGTAACGTACAAAAACGCATGCCAGATTTCTGACGACTATTGTTGTGTCATAAAGAGACTTCCCAGTTAGCCAGTACGTGTCCTTGGCTATAACATAAACATGAGGGACTCCTTGGCACTAGCAGTGTTTTATTGTCTGTTGCGTAGAGCCACCATGGTCAATTTTCTGTGCATTGAGGTTATAATTAGTATAGAGTCGTTTGGAATGAAAACGTCGAAAGGAGGTCATGTACCCTGACTCACTTCAGTATTTTCATTTGAACCTTTCTCGGAGGTAAAATCATGAAAGGTTAGGGAAGCTTTCTAGCAAAAGTGAATTGAGTTTCGTACAGGGTGTTTCTCTTGGCTTCTGTGTATGGAGACGCCGCCATGTAGGCTTATATATCATATGACTAGCGTTCAGCGACGTTTGTATGAGGGAGCAGGGCAAGAGTTTTGGCAATATGAAGCACTCCCCCCCCTCCCCCCGCTTTCCTCAGGGCACGATAGAAAGCAATTGGGCATATGTCACGATTGACATGGCAAATGAAAAGAAAGGAGGAAGAAGTTGCTTTAAAGAGGGTAAAGAATATCGAGGCTGGTGCTCAGAACCCGGCAAGGTTTTGCCCTAGTCTGCCGTTCAGCGAGCAGCTGTCTGTGGGATCAGAGAGGGAAAGAGAATAAGAAAAAAGGCGGGATTTTGACCAGGCCTAAGCTCCGGTAGGCTACCCTGTAATGGAGAATGGGGTAGGGAAAAAACACTAATCGTAAAGGAGAAAAACGTCGCTGATGGAGCCAACACTTAACAGTTTCACGTTACACACCACAAACGACGCATTAGATTGGTGCCAATGACAAAACGCAACAACTCTTTCGTTGCCTATCGGAACTAGAATGGGCAGCGCCATGGTCCTTCTCGACATCTAAACAGCTTCAATACAGTTGATGTAGAAAAGTGCGGAGGTGAAATCTCTGGTTTGCGTGTGTCGATAAGAAACGGAAAAGGTGTTTCGAGTCTTACTGACGGCACAGTTTCTGCGCTTCCCGTCGCCAGCCATCTCAATGTTAAATGAGTAGGTGTTGGTAAAAGCTACACCCATACGCTGATGGCAAAAGTAACCTGACGAGGAGGACGGGGATAAGACTAGTGCTGTCACGACCACTAGCAAGTTGGAACACGTCAATGTTGTTGTGGCCATGGTTCCGGGATGTTGCAAAGATGAACAGTGCCTGTATCCTGAGACTTGGTGTCCAACACTCTTCATGCCAGATAACTTATGTTGCGAGAAACAGATATCACGGGTAAAAAACCTACAATCAGGTTGACTGATGAAACAAAATTATCGATTATAGTTTCCAGAATACATATTTTAATGGCATAATATTGTGAATAAATTGAAATGTGGTGTGCCAAAAACCCTCTTTCCGACAGCATTTCGGGTAATGTGTGAAGGACGAAAATTGTGGACGATCCATACGCCATTTGCAGTTTGCCTACGGCAACACATGAGGATGGGATGGAGTTCAAGTCCTCTATGGTTGTTGAAGAATGTGATGACTAATGTGTCGATCAGCCCACCACGTAAAATACAACGTGCGGAGTAGAGTGAGACATGAGCAAGAAGGATGAAAAATTGGAGGACCCTTGAACTTTGCCTTTAAAAGTTGAACGCGAAAGTGAAATCCGGCCCCTAGTGCGTCCTTCGAGCTCTAAGTGCATACTTATTATTATGTTTTGTCACACACACACACACACACACACACACAAACACAAACACACACATACACATACACACACACACACGCGCGGGCGCGCGCGCGCGCGACATATTTCTAGCAACATAGTGACTGTGCAGGGTGACCACTTCCATCTGCTAGAACGGTGCTCTGCTGTAGTGGAGACACGTTTTTCACAATATCTCACAGATGGCACACCGATAGACACAAATGCGCGCATGCGCGGGAATTGTACCGTACATACAAGTTTTTTATTTAAAGCAACAGTCGCATGGCCTCCAAGATACACGCTGCGCGCTCGCCATTTTGCAGGCCAATAAGATGTTTCACAATGTCTCACAGATGGCAGCACATCATCTAGCGTTTGCTGTTTGCTTGATCAACGCCTCTGGAAAGGCATGATATGTTTTCAGCCAGGTGGACCTAGTTGTCTATTTTTAGAGTTGTTCGAAAGTTTCTGTGTACTTTTAGCGGCGATGGCTGGAATATGCCGGCCTTTTTCTACGTAGTTTGATGGCATCCCAAATGCGCCTACGAATCGCTGAATGGGCTCGTTTTCGTCGTGACATTTGTCGAACAAAATACGTTTAAGAGACTCCTTCCCCTACATGGCATTTATGTAGCGTTTTGTCCCGTGACAGCTCCAAGTGACGTCTTAGCTTAGTGTTATAGGACAGCTGCTTGCCACGCGAACGGCCTGAGTTTGATCGTCAATGGGACCGAGAATTTTTTTCCTTATTTTATTTGCTTCTTTCTTAGATTTTAGCTCACGGGCGATTTTTCGCTCACAACCAACGGTTCCAACACCGACGGCGAAATTTCTGCGACACGAGCTCTCTAACGCTATCGCGTCAAAAAGAAAATAATTTTACCAAGCAGCCGTAATCAGTGAGGCTCATGGACATAACCACAGCAGATATGGGTAAAAGGCAGGAAGCGAACAGCATGCTGCCATAGTGCTTTGAAACAAAGGACAACCGACTAAGGCACACTACATTGCAATATAAGTTTCCAACACTCGACTAGTGAAAGATTCGCGATCAGGAAAAACGGCCCATTTAGAGCTTACGCACAGACCGTTGTGGAGGCTAGCGAAACAGTACCTTCTAGGAAACATTCTTGTCGGTTCGTCAAGAAACTCCTAACCTTTATTATACTACGCGATGTTTAATGCTACAACCCCCCCCCCCCCTACACCACAGTTTCATCCGGCATGTAGAGTAAGAATAAATGTGCGTATGCACCAAAGAAGGGCAAGGTATACTTAAGGTAAAGTTGATTAGGGTGCTCTGAATTTATAATAGAATAACATGCAGCCAGCAGAGCGACTATCAGATATTCGGAGACTAAGGTCACGAATACAATGAAGCTCATCAGAGGAATCACCTACAGACATCGGGGCATAAAGGAGGCCTGTGTTGTCCGACTCATTCAATCTTCCGAGATTAGCCACATTATCTATGTGGCCATCTCCCACAATTGCTGCAGCGCTGAAAATACCAAGCTTAACGCCCTAATTAGGAGAACGCACAAGATGGCGCTGAGATTTTCAGACAGCGAAAGCACGAAACTTTTGCTACAGTTGGGTATGCATAATTTGCTTGAAGAGCTAATAGATGCAAATGAATTCTCGTAACTATAGAGCCTAACCGAGACATGAATCGACACGAACATCCTAAACAATCTCTGAATGATCTCTGAAAAAAGCACGGCGACGAAAAATCCCTCCGTAGCCTGATCACAGAAAAGCTTCCTCGGCTACCATACCCAAGAACATGCGTCACAAACTAAGTCGGGACCGAAAAGAGAGTATACTGCCACGTCTTTGCAACAACTTTAAGTAGGGACAAGAAGCGCTGTTCGTATACGCAGCAGAGTACGCGAATCGACGTGCCTGCACAGTGGCAGTCCTTATTACTGCCAAACATTTGGTCAACTCATGTAGCGTATGCAGGCCGAAATCCAGAGGTCGTGGAAGAAGGGGTGATAGCCCTAACAATCTTTGGCTTCCAGTAGCCCTACCTTCCTTTTAACCACAGCTTAAAAGAAGGTGGGGATCGATTGCAAGAAAGAGGTTGTTGGGTGCTTGATATTCCTGTGGAATATAGAAATGTATCTACAATGCCTTTGGCCAAATTCAGCTGCCGCCTTTCGTGCCCTAAACTTCTGAGTTTTGCCGCTCCGATTAGAGCTCTCGCCTCCGGGCTTGCCTGCTGTCTGCGGAGACGTTGAGCCGCCGCACGCCGTGCTCTCGGCTTCAGAGCTGGAACTTGTTGTCGACGTTGCTACGTTACCTTTCGCAGGTAAGAGTGGTTTCATGATAGTTTCCTTTCATGGCACAAAGATAATGTGTTGTCTGTAATGCTGTTATCTTCACCGTCATCAGTGTCATCCTTGTCAGCGGAAAACAAACAGCAGTCCACTGCGGTGAATCAATGGTTATGGTGCCCTGCTGCTTCCTGAAAGTAGTGGGTTCAAGCCTCACCACGGCAGCCGCATTTTGGTGGAGGCGGAATGGTTTAGGCTCGCGCGCTGGGCAACATCTGTGCACATTAAAAGAGCCCCAGACGAACTAAATTTTTGGGGCCCTCCGCTACGACGTCTTTCATGATAATATCGTGGTTTTAGGACATAAAAGTGCAGGATACTTTGCGTGTTAACGCAGACAACGAACAATTCTAGACACTCTGGTGCTTCGCCCCTAATAACACTCATTTCTCCTACGCATTTGAGAACGTGGCACAGCATGGTTGGGGGCAAGGGACACAGTAGGGAAAGAAAAATGATGGGGAAAGAAAATGTGCCTTTTGGGTAAATTAGCAGTCCTTCCTCTGTTGGTAACAACAGAAGGTTTCATCCCACCCCCCGACATTTTTTTTTCTTTTTCAGTCCTGCTGCCATGTCTCTCTATGTAGTTTTTTTAAGTGGGGGGGGGGAGGAGAGTCGCATTTCCCTAACCAAACAGGTAAAACATTCAAAACGTTATTTTTTCAGGCTAGTTTCT